CCTCCCCCCCCCCCCCCTTCTCTCTCTCTCTCTCTCTCCCCCTCTTCTCCCTCTATCTCTCTCCCCCCTCTCTCTCTTCCCCTCTTCTCTCCGACTCTCTCTCTCTTATTCCCTCTCTCTCTCTACCCCCCTCCCCCCATCTCTCTCTCAGTGTATCAAAACTGAAAAACAAAAATGTAATCCTCAGCTATACAGCTTTCCAGTCCTTACAGGCGGCGGCTGCATTCGTTTTGTGTGTGTTTGGCGTGTGACAACGCACATTTTTTTTTAAAGGCGCCTTTTTTGCACCCGTGTGCATGAGCCCCGAAGGTAGCCACACAGATGTCACTATGTGATTGATTTGGGAACGAGCGAGTGCAAACAAGCGATTCGCCATCAATGAACATATCAAACGATGCCGCACATCCGATACTGAGATCTATCAGAAATGATGACATTTTATGGGAGCTGGTGGTGCTGTTGGTCATGTTCTGGGGAAGGGTGTTGATGGGGTCCTCGGGGTGCACCACTCAGCTACGCCCGGCGTCCCACCCAGCACACTGATGTCACTGGGATGTCAGGAGCTGGACGGGTTGTCGGTCAGAGTGTCCCAGGTTGCTAGGCCACGACACATCTTCCCGCCTCGCTTTTAGCAACCTGGGACGCTCTGGCCGGTAAGGGAGAGGCAGACGTGACCCCCCATGTGATCCAAAGAGATGCTGCCTGAGGCTGACACATTATAGGGACGGCCCTGCCCACTAGGTTCCCTGCCAGCTGCTCTACCTTTGGGAAGATGATTCTCTACAAATAGTCCCGTCAACTGTTACATTGTATCATTGTATTCCTTCACCATAATAATTCAATGGTCACAGGAATCAATATCCGTTCACCGATTTCCCTTTAAGACGTCAGTACGGTTACTTACTTTCATTACATACGCGTCATTAACCCTTTTCATGCCTCTCTGTTGTTTCCCAGCTGTCGGAAGGGAGAATGTTGCAGCCAGTCTGGAGCTCTATCCTGGCAATACTTGGCGTGTTCATATTCCATGTCGGAGAGGTCCGGAGCCAGTGCTGGGAAAGCAATAGGTGTGCAGACCTCAGCAGTGAAGATGGCATTCTGGTAAGGAGACGTTCCCCCCATCGAACATCCATAATACAGCCTCTCAGCTAGGAACTGTGTTGTTTGTCTCATTCTCTGCGCTATTCAGGGGTGGAGCTTACTGAAATGGGTGTGGTTTGTCCAAATATGGAAAGGACAATCTACAGACAAAGGCAAAAGCTAGGTGGGCAAAGTTACATCAAATGAGGCGGCGTGTAGGGGGGGCACATCTAGCCCTGGGGTTACCCGAAAAGGAAATGTATGAAACAAAATTCTGACTTTAATCTCCGAATTCCAGCTTTAGAATAACTCGTAAATCTGACTTCTGAATTTTTAGTTTTTCTAATTAAGTTGGAATTCTGAGATAAAGTCAGAATTCTGGGTTTTGTCTTTTAGCCTTAAACTTTAAGTTCTGACTGTTCAACACAAAGTTCTGACTGTGATCTCTGAATTCGAATACTTTTAAAGGAGAACTATGAGGTGCGTGCTTTTCACTCACCTCATAGTTCTAGCCGACATGTGACAATGAGACTGTCACAGGTCGGCTTAGTAGATCGGGAAGTGAGCGAACACATACCGGCGTTCGCTCACCTCTCGATCCTTTCACGGCTTTCTGCCGTGACAGTAGGCAGCATAGATGGAATGATCTCCCATAGGCAGCTCTCCCGGGAGTGGTGGATGAAGGTCGGCTCTTTGTATTAGGAAGGTCTGGGACTGCAAGGAGAAAATTGCCGAAAGCAGAATGAAGAAAGTCCAGATTTTATTGTATTCAGACTTTTGTGTCATAAAAAGCCAACACATTTCGGGGGGTCCAAAGGTCCCCCTTCCTCAGGGCTCCTTTGGAACCCCCGAAATGGCTCATATTGGGCTGATAAAATTGGAGGGATCGGGAAGCCAAAAACCGGCTTCTGGAATCTGGACTTTATATGTTCCGCCCGGTGCGCTTTCCTCCTCGCACACCCAGTCTGTACTTACGGCAGGCTTGCCTCCTAGTGTGCCCTCCTCCAGGAATGCAAGGCTCGGGCTCCCGGCAGAGACTTTTACTTGGTATCGACCTCCTCCTTCAGTGCCCCATTCAGCAGAACTTAGACTGGGAGAGGGACAGGTGGCAGTAAGAGCCAATTAGGTGCACTGCACGCACTTTACCTGACAAGGAACCTTCTGATGGAACTGATAGATATGTGGTAGATCCGGACCAATAGGAGTGGGAATCAGTTTTGATGTAAATCCCCAAAATTGGGGGTGTGCTACTTAAATGATCCTTCACTCAGCATTCACAGGCTGTGGATAGGGAGCTGACCATGCAGTGCAGAACTACACAAGTATCTTCTGCCAAGGTCACCACCATGGTGGTGCTGGCTGTCAAGACTCTGTAAGTACAGGCTGGGCAGAGATAAACACCCCTGGGCAGGTGAAGACTCTAGTTCCAGTGTAATGTGCTGGTCAAGTATCTTCATCATCACCATAGTATCTTCTGATGAAGAATGAGGTCTTCTACCCAAACATGGAGGAGGTGGCCATCACAAACCAACGTTTCGGGACACCAACGTTTCGGGACACCAACATTCCGGGACACCAACGTTCCGGGACATTGGTAGTAGTAATTAGTAGACATTGGTAGTAGTAGTAGTTGGCCACATTTGTCTGGACTTGTTGAAAACATTACAGAACACGTCAGGTTGAATGTGGCCAAATACTATAAGGTATTCCATGACCTGGATAGATGAGAACCTTCACAGACGTTTCGGGGTATCACTTTATTTTGGCAAAGTCATCATCTTTGACAGGGCCGTCTTCAATATTAATTGGGCCCTGGGCAAGATTTTGTTGATGGACCCCCACATCCCTCCCACCTCCATCACCTGCCCTCTTACTTCCCAACCCAGACCCCCGTATCCACCTTCCCCCTGAAAGGAAACTAAAAAAATAAAAATGTATATATTTATATAGTCCGATGCAATGGACTCAGGACTCTGAAAGGCAATGGTAGTAGTGATAGTAGTGATGGTGGTCAGCTGCAGCCTGGCACGCAGGTCTATTCTCTGAGCACAGCATACTCAATGACAAAATAATGGAAACCCTCATAAGACCAAGCACTGATGTTCAGGGCCGGATTTACTCTCTCTGCTGCCCCATGGCCAGGGCCCCCCCCTACCCGCCAAAGCCCCCAGCCCCATGGAGAATGGCAGACCTGCAGGCTGCATACAGTGTCGCGGAGGTCACTTGTACAAAACAAGCGGCGGCTTCCCCGCTGTACATTTAGCCTTGCTTGCCCAAAGCAGGGCTAAATGTAGAAAACAACTACCCGCCCGGGCATCGGGAGATAGGAATTCCACACCCCTGCTGCCCCTCTACTCCCTGCTGCCCCGAGGCTGGGCCTTGTGGCAAATCCGGCCCTGCTGATGTTGCTCTCTATGCCCAGCACAGTCGTGCTGCACACCACCCCCCATCCACATCCCCCCTTCCCCAGGCATCCCCTTTCCATCCCCAGCATTATCATCATGCTCTGCCGGCCAGGTGCTTTATTCTCCAGCTCCAGCCGCTCCCAGCACTCACCGATCAGTGGAGGCTCCTTCCTCATCTGGCTGCTGGGCTCCCTCACTCTACCGGCTCTGGCCGTGCATCTCAGGCGTTCACTTTACGTCCCCTGCAGATCTGGCAGCCACCACCTGCCAATCACCGGCCCTGGTTGTCAACATGCCTGATGCAGTTCCCCCCGGCCCAGTCTGCCCTGCCACTAGAAGTGCTACTGCTTTCCTGCCTGCCGCTCCGAGCAAAGGGGACAGCTGCTGTGGGCCCCTGTAAATTATGGGGCCCGGGGCAGTTGCCCCTTTTGCCCTGCGGTAAAGACGGCCCTGATCTTTGATGTTTGACCTCATTCTTTGGTGTGTTGATGAAGTTGTATTGGAGCCTATTACTATTTGACCATTCCAACTCCTTCTTTCAATAGGAATGTATCAAAGCCTGCAAGACGGACCTCTCCGCAGAGTCTCCCGTGTTCCCCGGCAACGGCCACATGCAGCCCCTCTCCGAAAACATCAGGAAGTATGTCATGAGCCACTTCCGCTGGAATAAATTTGGCCGAAGGAACAGCACCGGCAGCGACAACAACAACAACGCGGGCTACAAGCGGGAGGATATTGCCAACTACCCGATATTCAACCTCTTCCCCAACGACGACAACCAGAACGCACAGGAAGGAACTTGGCAAGACGAGGCTGTGGATAGGCAAGACAGCAAGAGGTCCTATTCCATGGAGCACTTTCGATGGGGGAAGCCCGTCGGCAAGAAGAGGAGGCCTATCAAGGTGTTCCCCGCCGACGCCGAAGAAGAGTCCTCAGAAAGCTTCCCCCTTGAGCTGAGAAGGGAGCTCTCTCTAGAGCTTGACTATCCCGACACCAACTCCGAGGAAGAGCTGGAGGACGGTGAGCTGCTGGACGGCCCAGTTAAAAAAGACAGGAAGTATAAAATGCACCATTTCCGATGGGAAGGGCCGCCCAAGGATAAGCGGTACGGAGGATTCATGACCCCAGAGAGAAGCCAGACGCCTCTAATGACTCTTTTCAAGAATGCCATAATTAAGAACGCCCACAAAAAGGGCCAGTAGGAGGGGCAAGCT